GCTGGTGTGGTGGGACGCCTTCATCTCAGTGTAGGCTTGAAAATAAAAATTAAGAAAAAAAAAGACTTTGAACAGTTTAAATATTTCTGATATACTTTTTATTGACAGACATAAAAAACAGACCAGTGAAAATAATTTACTAATAATGAAAAAATGCAGTGTTTTTACTAAATGTTAAAATATTAGGATGTGAATAACATTAGTGGTTGTAAATAGACATTTGTCAAATACATTTAACATTTTTGATCTCATGTTAACAGAGTTCAGATTAARTAATCTGACAGTCTTGTAAAGACTTAAACTCTGAAACAGAATTCAGGTGTTTCATTCATTAATGGCAGAGTTTTTTATCAGAAATAATTATGAGCAAGGGCTGTAGCATAAATATATTTCTGGACATGATGTAATAAACATTAAATATTCAGTATCTCTGTATCTGACCCAAACAYTTATTTTCACTGTCTTTAAATGTTGTGATGTGTTTATTTTACTATCATCTGAGTACTGCTTCATTATTCAGTCAACAATACATTAATATGATAAATGAATATTTCTGTAAACATCCAAGTCAAAACATCAGATTTCCATGTATTTCCACTAACTACGTGGTTCTTACCTTGGTGCCAGGCAGAAGAAGTCCACATCATTCCTCCTATTATTCCTCATATTTTTGTTTTTCCTTCCATGGATGGGTGAACGAAGTAYTGTACAACAGAAAAATGAACAGTGTTACCCTGGACGGGGCTGTAGCGGTGGTCACGTGACTGAAATGATCCAATACCAACACAACATAGCTATGTATCTGAGTAGATATGCAGGCACAACAGCCAAACTCATCTGTTCTCTGATTGGATGTTAAATCTATGATTGACAAGACATTGACCAATCAGCTGGAGGCAGAAAAACTTTGTCAGAATTCGTACTTGTAAAGTGAAACTCACATGCAAGTTTTGACTTGAGCAGAGAGATTTACATATAGTTTTTTGCTTTGTACCTGTAAACAGACCTTAACAAAAAAAAGACTAACCTGTGTAAATATTTTTACAGATACAAATCTTGTTTTTACAGATACAAATATTATTTTTACAGATACAACTCTATTTTACACACACACATTCCTATTTACATATCCAAAAGTTACAAATCTTAACCTACAAGTACAAAGTCTGATTTACGAGTACAAAATACAAAAGACTAATATTTGTTCCCATAGAAGGGTGTCATTCCCTGGTGACAATGTGGTACGGTCCTCCCCAGGCGGCTGCAAGACTTCTTAATTTGATTTCAACTTTGTAGAGAAAACGAACTAAAAACGACGCATGAATTACAATTAGCTTATTTAACTTCTATAAAATCAAACTCAGATGTTGAGTSGATATTAAACGGTKGCTGTTCRTTCAACYCAGCGGGAGATGCAGAAGGGCCACCATTCTGCCCAGCCCATGGGGAGGGGCTGGCAGGCAGGGCCTCTGCTGAGCTTCTAGAAAACTGTTTCTGGCTTCTGATGTTGAAAAACTCTTTTTCTCTGTCTTCTTCCTTCTTTGTCTTCTGCTTTGTCTTCCAAGAGATTGGGAGTGCGCTAAGCTTTTTAAAACCTCTGTTATGGGCGGAGTCAAGGTTTTAGTTGGCCAATAAAAATGTTACACCTTATACAGGAAAAGTTTTTTAACAAATCCGATCTGTTTTGGAGGGAAAACTTTACTTCAGGACAAAGAAAAAGGGAGTGTTTTAGTTTAATTATCTTGCATCTAATTAAAGGGAGACATCTGCTTGCCTCAGTAAAATAAGAGTGTCACACTTAATTATTAAAGATTCAAGTCCTAAAGTTTCTAAGGATTAAATCATGGAATAAAACACACATCTTCTTCAGGAAAACATTTCATCAAAACAATTAACACCACAATACACACAGTTATTGAATAGTTAACTAAGCAAAACTTAGTAGATCCTTTATGGTCGTTTCTGTAAGAAAAA